AGGTTTATCACAAAGCAACATCTGCACGATGGAAATGTGCAGGCGCTGGAGACACAATTATCCCCTCCCCATACCGTGCCGGCACTTTCTCTGATTGTGATAATGTGGTATCAGAGCACTTTTTGTAGTATGTTACTGTTTAGAAAGGAAATACTTTCTTTGGGGTTTCTCAGGAGTGCAGAGTAGTCTACAGCCATTACCATTTTTTGAGATCCCCATATATTATGAAGTGAAGGAACACAAAAGAGAAATGCACAAAATTTTATTATTTATTTTATTATCATAGATAAATCAACACAAAAATGTAATGGATTAGCATCATACTATGGAGAAGATATTTATAGAATTTATAATGTTCCGTAGAGCTCTTGGCCCCATAATGGCATATAAATATAAAGTTCTATTTTGGGTGGCTTCTTTGAAGCCTGTCCGTGAATTTCTGTGAACTCACGCACTTCATTTGAAGATAATGTCAACAGTCTACGTATAAGGCATTTCCTTAATTTTTCTAAACTCTGGATACTGGAAATAATGGCTCTCCTGGCTCATTTGTGATAAAGTCTTGGTTTCTCTTGATTAGCAAATATTGCAGCTTCTGGAGCACAGACATTGGGCCTTTTACATAGAACAACATCTGGCAAATAGTAGGGGCTCAATAAAAACGTGCTGAATTTCTCACTTATTTCTGAATTCTGCAATCATCTTCAAGGTGGGAATTATCTAACAAGAATATTCTTTTCTGCAAAAATCTTTGTTGCTCTCTCTTTCTGTCTTCCTGGAGGCAGGAAAATTGGTTGAAAGGCTATTGTAATATTTGGATGACACATAATTATGGCTAAATCATCATGGGTCATGTTTATAGAAGTATTGAGGAGTGGTTGAATTCTGGATATGTTTTGAAGGATTTGTGATTGAATTAATGTGAAAGAAACAGAAAAGTCATATATATTTCCAGTTTCTTTTGCTGTTAACAACACAGTTTGCATTTACTATGATGGGAATGACTTCAGAAATCGAATGTTGAGGGTAGAGTGTGTATGTGTGTGGTGGAGATCTAGAATCTATTTCAGCATTTACTTCAAGTTGCGTATTGAACATTCAAGTGGAGATGACTAGTGTGAAGTGGTCAGACTTAAATAAACATATATAGTCCCAAACATTCCCTCTCCCCAGTTAGAAGAGAAGTGACTTGCTGAAAAATAAACCAATCAAGGACCTGATCGCAAACATGAAAACTCCGGAGACATTTTTTTTTCCTTTTTTCCCCCTCTGTTTGACTGATTGATTGCTGCACCTTCTAGAATGGGACAGAGACTTTTTTCTCAGAAGAGAATTGGGATATAGTATCACATGACACTGGTAGAAGAAAATAAATTGAGGGGAAAAAAAGAAGAAAATTGGGATGATATTCTTTGTTCACAGTTGGTCAGTGGTTTCCTATTGCCCACTGAAAAATAAAATCTAAGTGGTTGCCTTGTATACTCACCGCCTTATGACTGATTCTTTCCCTTATTGTTCTGCCATAACTCCAGACCAATTTTAGGTAATGTAAGACCTAAAATTTCAAGTACTGCCTTGAGATATTTGACCTTGCCAAGGCTCCCCAAAAGGCCTATCCACAAGTTTCCCTGCCTTGATAGATATGACTCCCACAAGCAGGAAAGACTCCTCTCTTGGCCAGTTCCCTTATCTGCCAGACCAGCTGCCCTACTCAGGCCTTCACCTAATGGGTTTCAGCTCACTGCCAGTCCTCCGAACTGTTAAAACAAGCCAACTCATTATCTGGGGAGAACCAGGAGTCACACTACCCTCTAATGACTACAAAGCCCACCTCTTACAGCCCTTACTGATTCATTCTGCTCCTGAGTGCAGCCCTTCTATGGCTTTGCACAGTATGTAGTGCCCTCTTCTTCCAGGCTGTGAGTATATGTGACTAATAAATTTCTGCCAATATTGTTTATCCAGTGTTGGTGTTCAGCCTTCTTACTATTTAAGGCAGGAGAATTTATTGGCTATCAACAGGTGCATAGGAGGTGATAGAACACAGTCACTTTTCTCTCTAAATCCCTCTCCCTCACATACCTCACCTCCATACTTTCAATGAAGTATAATTTGTAGTTCATTAAAAACTTTTAAGTATTATGATTCCTTGTGTTTCTTTTTCCTAGAATGCTCTTCTTCGCTGTATGGAAAATTGTTACTCATTCAAATTTTGGCTCAAAATCTGCCACCATTTCAGAATTAGACAATTGCCAGGGCAAAATTAATGCCACAACCCTGTTTCAGTTTTCACTTACCTCTGTAGATAAGCGCCATGGTGATGACCCTTACTAAAATATCAGAATGTTGACATAGTTACTGGGTAATGTTATCCTATATGTCTCAAGTAGTAAGTTGCTATGAACTAGGTTGTCAGCATATTTGTAGTGAATATGATGATTCATGATGTGCACCTGGTGTCTGGTTAGCGTTCCACATGGCTGGCCACATGGTAGCTGTGACTAGCTCCCTTTAACAACGTTTACTCTAATGCTCATGTGGACTTTGACATGCAAGCACAGCTGACACACATGCATGCAGTTCTCCATTGGAGAGAAAGGGCATTCCTGTCCTCACTGAAGAGTCTGGACAAGAAAGCCTTCTTTAGCCTTCGCCTCTGTATATATTTCTGCTTTCCTTGCATTGTATCCTGTGCTGTAATAAATATTTTTTGTTTTTATTTTTAAAACATTTTCTTTAGCCCAAACCAAAAATGGTCAATAGCGATAATAAATCTTTTTTTTTTTTTTTTTTTTT